AAATATATGTGGTCAAAGATTTTACAAATCTAATGCGCCATATTGTGCAATTAAAGATAACTTCTTGAAATTTTTCAATATTTGAAATTTGAAAAAAAATAATTTTTGAAGAATAATTCTTTTTAATATCTGAAATCTGAAATGAGAAAAAATTGACCCCCCACAATTTCCTTTTACCCCCCCCCCCCCCCCTCCTTTTTTCCCCCAAAAAAATCTTTCCCTCAAGACATGGTCATAATCTCAATTCAAATTTCCAATGGAGTTTGCAACCATAATTACCCATTTAAATTTACCATAGTGCTAACTTAATCTATTTTATAATAGAATTTAAAATATAGTGTAAAAAAAAAAAGATGCGACATTTGCAGATATTTTTACTGGTCTTCCTTTATAAATATGCATTTCTTTAAACATAATTTAAAAGCTGTGTAAGGGAAGTAACCAAAACGTATTTGGATTACCTCCCTTACACTGTTTTAAATTATTTTAATTGTTCATTAACCATTACTTTATACATAACTTAAAAGCAGTGTAAGGGAGGTAATTTCAATGATGTATTTGATTTATCTCCCTTACACTGCTTTAAATTATGTTTTGTACTAAAGTATTTGTCCATTAACCAGGACAACCTTGTTTATCCCCTTTTTTGCCCCTAATTCCTAAACGGTTTGAGCTATAACCCCCCAAAGCAAATCCTAACCATCCCTATGTGGTATGGAAACTTGTAGTATAATTTCAGAGAGATCCATACACCCTTCCACAGTTATTGTCTGGAAACTAGAAAATGCTTATTTTTGGCCCCTAATTCCTTAACTGTTGGTACCATAACCCACAAAATCAATCCAAACCTTCCTTTTGTGGTTTCAAACCTTATGGTAAAGTTTCAAAGAGATCCGTTCACTTAAACTAAAGTTAGAGTGCGAAAACCAATGTGTTTTCGGACGACGACAACGACAACGACGCCAACATCATACCAATATACGACCGCAAATATTTTTTGCGGTTGTATAAAAAAACTATTTTGTTTACACATATGCAATTCAAATAACTGACTATTGTTTCAAAAGCAAGTTTAATTTAAACATCTTTTTTTATTTTTGAAACTATGTGATTGACTTTGTTATATTGTATAATGTTTTATCAAATTTATGATGCAAAGAGATTTTTAACTTTTATTTTTTTTATAACACACAGTTAAAAAATCTGAGATTTTATTCTTATGCATACATGTAGCATTAGACTGTCATTGATTGATTTTAGAAATAATATCAACTACATGTTTAGATTTCATTGCAACAAATGGATGCTCAATATTTTTATTTTGTTTTTTTCTTGTTATAAATTCTTAATAGTTATTTATACTTTGGCTGATAAATGTTTTTAAACGATTTGTCTCAAATATTGTTGGCTGTTTTCTTATTTAGCTACTGATATATTAGTAATATTTTGATTCTTTTATGTTGACAGTGCACATTTTAATAGTACTTTTCCAAAAAAAAATATTAAATTTCACTCTTTACAAAGAATCTACAAAATAACAAATTCACTATTTTGCTGGTGCCGGTAAAATAGCCATTTCTATAGCAATAGGCTATTTTGCCGGCTTGATTAAGGATATTTTAATCAGAGCCGGCAAAATAGCCACTGCCTTTTTTTATTCGTACACGACTTCTTCAATTGATTTTAATAACGAGTAAAAGAATATCCCTGATTCAAATGACTCAGGCGAAGTGTGAAATTTCCATCATGACGTCAATGGGTCAGATATATTCGGATTTTTCATAATAATGATTTTTCTAGAGTGTAAAAGAAACTTGAACTAGAGGCTCTGGAGAGCATGTGTCGCTCACCTAGATCTATGTGCATGCATCTTCAACAATGGACCTGGCCGGCCTCTCCAACAATGTTGATTAGAATAGAATTTATGACAAAAATCCGTTTTGTTGATCTTGTATTGCTGATAATTTTTAGAGACGACATCAAAAGATCAATGAAGGATAAAAAACTTAAATCAAATAGTTTGGGGGTGGGGGGTTAAAATTGCTGCAAGTTTTGTTTATCCAAAATCGATTTTACATATATCCATATTGGTCATTCAATTTTTCCCAAATTAAGTTAAGAGGGGGGTCAGTGAAAAAACTACGTGAATTAAGTTTTTTATCCTACATTGAACTTTTGATGTCGTCCCTTACTGATTACAGTTTCTCTCTATCTTCTGAAGTTTTTGTCCAAACCACAAAAAAGGTAAAATAAAATGTCAATAAAGGGCAATCACTCCTATATCGAGTCTACTATTTCAGAAAAAAAAATAGTAGAACTTGTTCTGCTGATCATTTTTGCTATTTAAGGTGGGTCTTTTATAATTTTCAAGACAATGCCAGGCAAAAACGTAAAATATTGGTAAAAATTGTCATTTAAGAGCTAGAACTCAAAGGAAGGGTCAAATGACGATTTAGATCAGTAGACTTGTTTGAAAATTTTGTCTTACCAATAGTTTTTGCTTATTCAAGGTCCAATCTATCTAGAACAGTTTTTAAAGTTGAATGACAATCTAGCTATTGTGTGCAGCTATTTTCAATCTAAGATGACAGAAAATTTCTATACTACCTCCTTTAAGCAAGTTTGAATCGTGATCTATCTAATATGATAATTTAAATTATCTACTAAAAGTTAAGAAACCCAAATTCAGAAAATTTGTGGGGCTTCTGACATAAAAATTCTTAAACAAAACACAAAAAGTAATAAATGGTTGGGTTTGCAGTCTAGGTTGTAAACTCGGTTTCAGCAAAACTAGATAATGTAATAAAACTAAAATCCTTTGACCTCATGTCAAGGTTAACTGCAAAACAACTAAGGGCATTTATCAGTAAATAAAGATTTCTATTCAAGAAGTTCTTTAAAATGCTGAAGACTCTGACATTTTTGTGTTCATTTATCGTATGATTACTGAACAATGGTAAAATTATGCACGATTAATTATTGCAATTTCAGGAAATGCAGCATACAAATAATAACACAAGAGTGCACATGCTGAGATGTCTCGCCTTCTTTACTGACCATCGATTTTATTTTGATAGTCCTAAATATAAAGTTATACTACAAGTATCACATAAACTTTAAATGATCAAAGAAAATGAGGTCAAGGTCAGATGAACCAAGCCAGAAATATTTGTACACCTTTCATTCATTCCATACACCAAATATAGTTGACCTATTGCTAATAGTATACAAGAAACAAACCAAACCATGAAAACTTTTATAGTGACCAATGAACCATGATGATGAGGTAAAGGTCAGATGAAACCTTTCAGACAGACAAGTACACATTACAATCATCCCATGCTTTAAATATAGTTGGATCTATTGCTTACAGTTTACGAAAAAACAGACCAAAACACAAAAACTTTACATTGAGCAAAGAATCATAAAAATGATGTCAAGGTAAAAAAAAATCCTACACTGGCATCTACATCGTAAAATATTTCAATACACCGAATATAGTTGACCTATTGCATACAGTATTAGAAAAAAAGACAAAAACACAAAAACTGAAATTTAACCATGAAAATGAGGCCAATGTCATATGGCAACTGACAGTTGGGCATGTACACCTTAAAATCATTCTATAAAACAAGTATAGGAGACCTATTGCTAATAGTATTTGAGATATGGGTTTGACCATGAAAACTTAACCTTGCTTACTGGTCCATGAAATGAGCCTGAGGTCAAGTGAAAACTGTCACACAGGTATAAGGACCTTGCAAGGTATGCATATACCAAATGTAGTTATTACTCCTAATAAGAGAGAATTTAAGATTACAAAAAAATCTTAGTTTTTTTTTCAAGTAGTCACTGAACCATGAAAATGAGGTCAAGGACATTGAACATATGACAGACAGAAACTTCATAACATAAGTCATCTATATACAAAGTATGAAGCATCTAGGTTTTCTACCTTCTGAATATCAAAATTTAAGAAGTTAGTTAGCCATGCTGGCATTGCTGCCGCCACTACCGGATATCTATCCCTATGTCACACTTTCTGGGACAGATGTCGCAGGCTCGACAATAAATAAAATTTAAAATGCATCTCTATTTAAATTTTTGTTAATCTTTTCCCCATTGCAATTTTTTGCAATAACAAAAGCAAACATTTCTATATTTACAATAGCCGGTAATGCCTTTTTATAGGATGCCAAAAATTACATAGATATATGTATTTTACGGTACCTAAAAAAGTGACTTCAATAGGCCAATGTATAAAACACTGAAATAATGGTCCATTATCTTGGTCATTGATTCAAAACTGTTTTTCCACTTTAAAACATCAGATTAACATTTATAATAATTTTCCCTCTTAAAAATTGGCAATATATTGTGTCTATATAAGGTATGCTTACAAACTAACTAAATAGCCTTCTATATATACATCATTTATAGTTCTTTTTTTGTAAGTCAATCTGTATTTTGGAAACATCATTAGAATTCAACCAATCAGAATCAATAACTATTACATGTACTATAAAGTTAATCTAAAGTGTTGATTTTTCTGTAAAGAAGGGAATAAGATACATAAGATACATTAGTCAAACAGTTGCCATAGGTAGATCCAGGGGCGGGGGGCCTGGGGGGCCAGGCCCCCCTTTCGTGGGAAAAATTTGGTTGATTATATAGGGAATCACTGAAGCATGACTGGAGCAGGCCCCCCTTATGAAAAGTTCTGGATTCGCCACTGGTTGCATAGAATTGCTTACATCCACTTCATTTAAACTTAGGTGGAAAGTTGTCTCATTGGTAATCATACCACATCTCATTATTTTTACATTAGGTATGTAACAGGTTCTAGATCATACTGGATAATTTTCTTAGGAACTTATATTTCAGCCCAATCTTTTTCTTTTAACCTTAAATCGTATTCAATCACATCAAACAAAGTCTAAACATCCATAAGGATTGATTAACCTACAACAAGTTGATATAAACAACCCTAACAATTCATGCACATGTACAAATATATAATTGTTAATTATCACGGTCAAATACAAACTTGTCTATTTATATTCAATATTGTTTAATCTCATAAAACAGTCAATTAATGTGTTTCGATCATTAGGGTAAAACAAACAGACACACACACTGTAAAACATAATGCCCCTAAGTGGGGCATAAAAAGTTTAAGCATCAATAAGGATTGATTAACTTACACCAAGTTGATATAAACAAACCTTAACAATTAATTGACATTTACAAAAAATATATATTTGTAAATTAGGGCTATTCCATTAAAATGTATGTGGGAGGGTAGGAAGGGACTTTTAAAATATCCCTACAACAAAGAACCATTTTTTAGATAATTTCTTCCTACCCTCCCACATACATTTTAATGGAAAAGCCCTTATCATAATCTATAAATTTGTCTATTTATATTCAATATTGTTTAATCTCATAAAACAGTCAATTAATGTGTTTCGATCATTAGGGTAAATGATATCGAAAGGCCTGGAGTAATAAATCACAGCTCTATCACTTTCCTCTATTACTTGTTCATTTTTCAGTCTATCAAAGTGTTCTTGTGACATTTCCAGCAATGTAAGCATCACCTGAAATAAAACAACAATGATCAATTTACATTTACCATTAAATTTTAAATGAGTTTATGGTTTTACACTAGTCATTTTTGGGGCCCTTTATAGCTTGCTGAGGCAAGGCTCTGTGTTGAAGACCGTACTTTGACCTATAATGGTTTACTTTTACAAATTGTGACTTGGATGGAGAGTTGTCTCATTGGCACTCATACCACATCTTCTTATATCTATTATAGTATTTTTAGCAGTCTCCATATGGGGTGGGTATTACAACACTAATGATTTTAAAAATGACTTCTAAGATTTTTTGCAAAAAGTTTTTTAAACGAATAGAATATTTTTCAACCTAGGGCTATAGCTATTATTTGAACATGTTAAGGTTAAAGAGGACATGACCCTTATACGTTTAAAAAAAAAAATTGGGCGGTAAATAAAGGCAAAAAAATTTCACAACTTTTCGAACTCTAATCATGCTAATAGAAAATAAATAGGGAATGTGTCCATGGGACACAGATGATGCCCCCGCTTGCATATCATATAAAGTTATAAAGGACATAACTGAAGAACATTAAAAGTGAAGCTACCCAAATTTGTACTTGATCTGAGTTTTGTGATAATAAGTACTGTGTATAATTTTAAAAACATTTGGTTGAGGCAAATTTAAGTAAGAAACGGAAACGAAAAATTCAGCAATTTTTCCATTTTTAAAGGGGCATAACTCTAGAACAGTAAAAGTGACACCACCAAAATTAAAACTTGATCTGTATTTTGTGGTAATTAGCATTGTGTATAAGTTTCATAACATTTGGTTGAGGCTAAATTAAGAAACAGAATGGAAACTAAAAATTCAGCATTTTTTTTCCATTTGTTAAGGGGCATTTCTCTAGAACAGTTAAAGTGACGCCACCAAAATTGAAACTTGATCTGTATTTTGTGGTAGTAAGCTTAGTGTATAAGTTTCATAACATTTGGTTGAGGCAAACTGTAGTTAGAGAATGGAAACCAATCATGGGACGTACGGATGGATGTACGGACGTACAGACGGACAAGAGTAAAATAAAAACTTGGGTGGTAAATCAAGTGGAAAAAAAATTCACAGTTTTTCCAATTCTAAAAGAAAAGAAAAGATATGTGGTATCCATCTATGATACAAATGTCCCAATTGCTTTCTGTTTTATTTGCAAATATTAATTTTCTTGTAATACTATTATCATGTATTTTTTTTTAAAATCATTTAGAAATATATCATGAGAGTTTCAAAAATGAGCTACACATATTATCATGATTATTAACTGGTCTGAAATAAAAAATTAAGTAGACAGTTTATGTTTCAATCTTTATGAAGCCTTTAGCATGTTGAGGAATCATCATGATCATAGGGTCTTGTATTTACATAAAAGGTGAAGCCTGAAAAAGCATATACATGATATAGGTGTTCCTTTGGTACGCCTTAAATGGGTTTACAAATTTTTGGTACATCAAGTATTTGAAGACGATTTTTAGGTACATTTTGTACTTGATCTCCACCTTATCTTATACATATACATGAACATTGTATTATATGTTTCATTTAATCATGCTGTTTATTTAAAGTTACACTTCTTTTTATAGATGACTTATTTACCTCTGTTTTATTGACGATCATTCCTGGAATTGTAAATTTTGTCAATTTGTCACATTTCTTAGTTAATTCATAAAGGTTCAGCAATAGTTCCCCAGCATGTTGTCCAAGGAGTCTTGAATTAAAATATTCCTCAATTCTAGTTGATTTTTCACTTTGAAAATTTTCAAATATTTGGAAATTGGTAAATGAGTCTGAATCTACACTGGCACTTTCAATTTCATCAGTCATGGAATCCATATTAGATAATGTAGAGTCTTTCTTTACCTAAATAATAAAAAAAATTATTAATTTCAGACTAAAATTACTTGAGAGATCTAAATTTGTGTACTTTATCATGTTTATAAAAATCTAACCCTAAAATGTAGATCTTATTTTGCTGATATTTTTTTTTTACTTACCAATCTACAATGTACAATGATGTACCATGTCTGCTATATTTCTGCAATAATGGGTAAAAATCATAAGTCAATAACTACACAAAGAAGTCAAAGTACAATTTATATCGTGCCTATCTTTTTGTTATTTATAGTTTTTTGTCTACATATCTATTTAAAGTTTTCAAGAAAATTGCATAAAACACAAAAAGGTAAGAATAATCATCAGTTAATAGCAATTACTTCTATTCAATCATGTCAATCAAACATTTCAGTTATGTTGACTCATTTCTATATCTTCTCTCCCTGAAAATGACCAAAGTGCACTAAAAATAGTAAAAGAATTGTCATGTAAGGGATATATTCCTATGAGGGACCAATTAATGATTTCTGCAGTGTTTGACTTATTTTCAGATCTTGTACATGTCATCATGGTCATGTTAATACATTTTGCTGTTTAAGGATGTTTGCTCCTCTTGTTTTTAATTTTTTTTACAGATATTCAGAATTCTCTGGTTTTATCCATGTAGGGCCATTACAAATGTTGAACACTAACCCTTACTTTCTTTTCATAATATGATTACAAATAGTTAAAAATAAAATATTTGAAAATCTTATAAAATCCTTATTATTTTTTCATTGTTTTCTAAAGAAAAAAGGTGCTAATGCTAAGTATATGAAAAATCTAGAGAATAATTTCCCGTCATATTTTCAATGTCTTATATCATCGTGATCTTGAAAACATGCACACCGACCCTTCATTCTTTCCGGTTTTTTAGTTTCTTTTTTTATATACAATCATTTTATAACAGTCTTTTTAAAAGCTTATTATTTTGAAACAGAGTAGCGAACATCCTTAAAATATCCAAAATTTTATCTAAAAGAAATCAAAGCTTTAAAGGCTGTTGAAACAGTTGCTGCCTAGTTAATGTTTTTGTGACTTTTATTTTTGATCCACATGTAAAAGAATTAAACCTGACAGTAGTATTGTCTAGTGAGAAGTAAGGATGTTTTAACTTTATATCAATAATAGACTTATCCAGCAGAAAGTTATTTTTACAATGTTTTACATTTACCTAGATTACGGTGGAGGCAAATATATGTGCGGAAACATACAACTCCCCTCTCAGAAACTAAAATAATAATCACAGATTAATCATACTATTAGTTAAATATGTTTCGTTTGAATGTGTGCGCTATATTGTCAACTAATTTGCCTCCGAAATGATGTGGGCTTCCTGAAGAAGTGTCTTAGCTATTTTGAAACATGGGTTCAGTAAGAGCAAATATTTATGTCTGCATGACTGTTAGTTATATTTTACAAATTCAATTATCACCAGAAATAGTTGACAAGACAGTATTCCTTAACATGCTAAATGTGAAAAAAATTGTCTCACCCTGTGGTAACCCTTAGTGAATTGTTAAATACATCAATGACTTTTATTATAATCATTACACATTTTGTAAATTATCAATTAAAATGTGTTTTATTTACCATCACCAAATACTAGTGCTTTATCTGGTTTGACTTTGGAAACATTTTTCAATGTATGTTTATTAAACTTTATTGATTTGAATGGTGTTTGCTAGTAAATGAGCTATTAATAATGGTATATGATTCCTTGTCCTTCAGCTGTGTTCTGCTCTTTTGGTCAGGTTGTTGTCTCTTTGACACATTGCCCATTTCAATTCTCAATTTTATAATGTAGTTAATTTTTAAAAAGACAACAACCCAAAATCATAAAATGCATAATCACTTTGATTTGATTTCTGTTTTGTAGATATATTCCCAAGCGAGTACTGGAGTATCGCTCGATAAAAGCAATGAATACTCGTTAGTAAATCTTCACCCAGTTGACATCCCTAGGCTAGTAAAAATTGTCAACTAAGGGCAATAACTCACACGACTCACATAAATTCAATTAAAAACTTCTAACAAAATTTGTACAGTGAATCTTATAATAATGTATTTCCCATTTGGCAATAGTGGTAAAAATTTAAGTTAAAGTTTAACATGTTTAATAAAAGCTCAATATCATAAATATTTGACTGAGACATAAAAAGTTATCAATAGGAATCAAATTTATGTTTAATAGTTTTTTTTAACAGACAAGCAACTTAAACATGTTAGACAAATAAAGTATCCCCTTTTTCGGAGATACAACATTTCACAAAAACAATATAGTTTTAGAAATTTATCTCTATAATTATTTAACAGCAAAAATACATGAGAAATCATGGAGATACAACACTATACAAATACTTTCCTCTAAACTAACTGAATTAAAAGCTATTATAATCCAGTGAGACTGTGAAGATAGAACAGAGTAGTTCTGACAATAACTCATAGAGTGTATAGTGACATCTCATATTATAGTTGCATAGGGTGATAGACTATTGTTCTTGGATCTCAAATATATAGCTATATCCATTTTTATCAAAAGTGGACAAACTAAACATCATTGAGATGGTAGCCATCCCTGTGGGCCCTGCTGTAAATAACATGTGGTAAAATATCTGTATGGATAAGCTGATATTAGGCACTTTTTTTAAAGTTATTACATAGTCTAGTTATGTGCTGAGAGTAATTTTATTCTATGTTTTTTAGTTAAAGTGTTATATTTGGCAATTTGATTAAACTGATAAATATCCTGAACTTACTTTCATAGTATGATAGTGATATGACTGCATGGTGTGAATTCATTGTTGACCACTAGGTGACTTCTGGATATATATATATATGGGTTGATGTATAAACTTTGAAATCATAACAGTTTTCAAGATATAGAGCAGACATGATCTGTACCATAGGATATGGGGTTGTCCACTGAAACCAAATTTTTGACCTTGAACTTTGACCTAGGAAGTTGTAGATACATTATGACTACCCCTCTGGTGTTGGTTAATATTCATGTCAAGTATAAACTTTGAAATCATAACTAGAGTGAACACAATCTTTACCACATATAGGACATGGGGTTGTCAACTGAAACCAAAGTTTTTGACCTTGAACTTTG